TACCAATCAGAGAGTTTGATGCCGTTCTATTTTTAACGTACACCGCCGTTGCTGTAGCTTTAGCCCATAGATATATTGGTAATTTCCTTGAATGCAACATACTTTTTGCGCACTCGACAATCGTTCGATTTTGCCTTTCGATATATCCATTTTGCTCGGGCGCTCTCGGAGTCGAAAGTTCATGTTTAATTCCCTTAGCAAGTAAAAAGTCTTCAAATTCTTCATTTATAAATTCTTTTCCGCAATCAGATCTTATTTTCATAAGTTTAATTGTATTATTATCAGCGTGCACATCAGCATAGAATTTTCGAAATTGTTTCATGACTTCAGATTTTTCTTTAAGGAAGTAAACATAACTATATTTGGAATAATCATCTTTCAATAGCATGAAATAATTTGCTCCTTCTATTGAGCTAATGCTCATTTTTCCACAGAGATCAACATGAAATAATTCTCCAGGCGTCTTTGATCGAATTGCCTCATTTTTTAGAAATGAGTTTCTGTGTTGTTTTCCTAACACACATCCTTCACAAAACGGGTCTTTCTCTTCAAGCTTATTGACAACTAAATCATTTACAGTATTATTGTGGATCATTTTACGCAAGGTTTGAAAATTTACATAACCTAATTTTTCATGCCATTCCATAAGAGATCCATTAGCTACGTTAGTTTCACCATTACAATAGTTTAATCGCAAGTTTAGCTTATACAAACTTCCATTACTTGTGCTACCTTCAGCAATGAGTTTTCCATCATATACAAAAATAACCTTTTTTCCACCTTTTTTAAAGGTTACTTCCATACCTTTTTCAGTCGAACGCCCAATGGATATAAGATTTTTCTTAATATCTGGAACGTACCAAACATTACGGATGTTATAGATTTCATACGAACCGTCGGGTTTTGTAGCTCGTACGCTAACATTGCCTACGCCTTTGACTGCAAGCTTATTACCATCTCCAACTTTGACTTTATGACTATCGTCTTCGATCATATCTATATTTGTGAAACACTCACGCTTCATGCACAGATGCTCTGTTGCACCAGAGTCAGAGTACCATGTATCAGAGTCGCTTGAGTCATTTAAACATTCAGCATTAAATAATTCAGCTTCTCCATTATTACCCCGTGCATCTTCAGATATCATTGAATAATTATTGCTTTTATTTCTATTTTCGAGAAATTCTTTTTTCTTCCTGCATTCACGAGCCCAATGACCTGGCTTTTTACAGAAATGACAATTTCCGGGTTTAACAAAATTTTGATTTGACGGTACGTTACGCAAGTTATCACTGTTTACGTGATACTTATTACCGCGAGCCATATATACTTCTTCGTCTGGGCTATTGTTTACATTTTGACTACGTAAATTCAACAGCGCCTCTTCATTTACGAGATGATCCGTTAATTTTTCGAGCGTTTGCTTGTCTCGTGGTACTGCATACCATGCCGTTCTTACATTATCGTACTTTTCTGGTATGCTAGATAGAATTTTTGCAATAATGACCGGTTCCTTTTGTTCCATATCCATGTCTTTTAGACGTTGTGCCAAGGATACAATTTTCGCTACATGATCAGCCATAGAGGCTGAAGAATCCATCTTAGCATTTATAAATTGACTTAGCAGTACCTGCACAGACTGATCACTTTTCTCTGCATGAATAGTCAGAAGTCTTGCCCACATGTCCGCAGCAGTTGAGCAGTCCGTTAAATACCGAAGTTGATCCAGCTCCAAACCCCGCATCAGAAAATCTTGAGCTTCAGCGTCCTTTTGCTCCCAGTCGTCGACATCAGACGCAGCCGTCGGCCTTGGAGTCGTTCCATCTATATATTTCTTCAACTTATTTTCTCGCATGTAGATTTCCATCTGGCGCTTCCACAATTGATAATCCTGTCCATTGAAGCGATGGATATGAAAAACTTTAGTTTCAGACATATTTGTCTCACGAGAATTCGTTACAGTGTGAGCACTATCAAAACTTTCAGTATCACTACTTTCTTCGTCGCTACACTCTTCCTTATTCTCCCTTTCAGAATCAAAAGCTGGGCCCATAACCTGTTGTTATGTTACGGTTAAACAATTTTAACGGCTAGAATTAAGAAAAGAAGAATACTTTATTTAAAGGAAATATGTAAGAAAGAAAGTGTACAGTATACAGCTCTTACACGTTACACAGCACAGAGCGATCTGACCTCTGTCTCGCCTGAGCCGGTAACTACGAGCTGTATGTGGCGCTCCTTGCTGGCGTCGTGCGTTTATGTATTATTATTATTACAATAGTAGGTGCGATGGTTTTCATATATATGCACATGCATTGTTTTTGATGAGGCGAGGTGATTGGAGATTATGTTTCATGACGGGGTGAAGGACAGTATGTTGCTGAGTGAGGATGGAATGAGGGTGAGATTTTCAGTGGTACAGCGGGCCTGCCAGTCGTTCTTATCGAGTGCGAAAAGATGATTGAAGATGAGTTTTTTATATGATGAGGCGGAGTTAGCAAGGGTGATTTCGAGCGGAAGAGTGGAAAGAATGCGTGATGCGGTGTGGGTGAATGATTTGGTGAGAGCTCCGGTGCGCTTGGTGTTGTAGTACACTAGTGGCCTGATGCGACGAGGCGATGTGCGTATTTCAGGGTGGTCGGCCAGGAGTTTGAACGGTGCACGCAACTGTGATGGTGATCCTCCACGCAGAATCTCCAAGGCGAGCAGGGCGATCCTCATCTCCCTCCGGCGACGAACCGACAGCCAGCCCAGTGCCAGGCGGTATGGCGTGACATGTGCGGTGTGAGGGATGGAGCCGTAGACGAACCGAACGCAGGCGTTCTGTACTCGCTGTAGTCTCAGATTCTTCTCCTGGGTGACAGAGATTTGATTTTTGATTTGAACGTTTTTATTATGCCAAGAACTCATAGTCCGAATGGCAACAAGCATAGTAAATGCAATCAAAAATTACAATCATTATGTAACAAAATGCAATAGATTTTCAGTACGAAATACATTGAACACTTGGATACTAATTTCGAAGTATTATCACAATATTACAGGCATTATCACAAGAACAATCGCAAAACATAACTATATACAAATATATACAAAGATATCCACAGTTAAGGCAGAGTAGAGCAAAACAAATTAATTCACATGAGCACAACACTTCAATATTAAAATTGGGTGTAAACCACACGCACAATGTGCGTCACACATATTAGCAAAGCATCTCATACCAAGTTTCACCAACACAGCAGAGCAACACTTATTCACTAGCAATCACAGTACAAATTACAAAATGCTCAAAGTCTCTCTAGATCTGGCTCGATCAATAGTTCGATGACGCCGCTGCCATCACATTTCTTAGCGAACACGATTCCACCTCGAGCCCAAACATATGTGTAACAACGTTCTTTCGCCACTTCCTTTACATTTTTGAATAAGTCGAGCACATATTTCGAATGCGTTTCGAACACTTGCAAACTGCCACTTGCACCTTGCAAAACAGCAGAGGCGAGCACATCACCAAATTTTCTTTTTGCTCTTAATACGTAGTCTCGAGTGTCAGTCTGCTTGTACCGCACAACCATAGTACGAGCAGCTAAAGGCTGATTAGGCTTACTCCCAGTACGTCGAGCAGATGTTGGGTTTAGCCATCGTATTTCTTGGACGTCAGTGATTGTATGGCCAGTTCCAAAAAGCTCCAAGATCGAAGCGCACAGGTGACGAAGATCTGAGTCACCAGTGCAAGCCAGGGCAGATGGAATACCCATGATTTTCAGTTCTGGGCAAGGTTTTACTTCACAAAGATAACGCTCAATATGTTCATAGCGGGTTTCAAGAGCCTTAATACGTCCTGAGTGACCCTCTAGAGTCGCAATAGCTCTGTCGAGTTTGAGACTCGTAACGGCAGCTCCGGCCTTCAAGTCGGCGCAAGTTGTCCGAACGTCATTTAGTGCAACATCAATACGGGAGAGCACAGCAAATATACGGGCGGAATTTTCGCTCGACATCGACGACTTTGATTGTGAAGACATGGCAAAACAAATTCAGCGGATCACAGCACAGACACTTACGTTCACACACTACACAAATTTGACGATTCGAGTCAATTTCACACAATACAATACACAGCAGCCAGAGATAAGCCGATTAAGCCGACCGACACAATAACACTGATATACTCCAGAATCGAAGAAATAGCACTAGCTTACAGGTTATATTTCGATTTTTTAGCTGTACCGAATCAAATTGGCACTCAAACGATTCCACACTTACGGCAACGGATGTCACATAGCACTGCGCACTCACACAAAAAAAATCGAAATTTTTCGCTCAAAAATTAGGCTCACAACAGCGAAGCAAGCGGAGCACGATCAAAATGCGTGTTGACTGGGACTCAGAGAGAGAGAGAGAGAGAGAGAGAGAAACTGATGTTGGGATTAGTTCGGGGCTAATTCCTTCGAACTCGACGTACCGCAGCCAGATTACGTCGATGCTTTTCGCACTATTATTGTGGGTATTACATTATGAAAAATAAGTGCGAATGTGCTCAGCTCCTGGCTATAGTATTTGTTTTGTATGCACCGGTCATCAGTAGATATTTATAAATAATACTTATAAACAAAAGAGAATAACGCAGCAATTTATGAGCCTCGCAGCTGACGATTTATACGTCTGCTGCGGGCTATACGCGTGTTGCGCGCGAATCACACACGTAACAAAGACAAGAGAGAGAGTGAGAGATAGATAGATAGATAGATAGATAGATAGATGCTTTATTGGGCTTAGTGTTACATCCCGTTGTCGGGATTTAACAATAAACTATTTATTTCTTAGACTTGTTGCCGAGTTGGAGTGATATTAAAGAGAGACTTAATTATTTTTGGTTGAAGTTTATATATTATTTTGGTAGTGAGATGGTTTGCCAGAAAATCAATTATTGATAATCAACAAGCAGCATAGTTCACTACAGAACACACACGCATACTCATACTCATACTGTTTGCGTCCTAGCTGCTTGGAGTGGTTGGTTGTCTGCGATGTCGCTTGCCTGGTGACGTCGTTGGCTGCCTGCGATACTCCTTGGCTGGTTGAAGTCTGGATGATGGCTGGATTGCGCAGATTCACTTGCTCGTGCTGTTATCATATTTATATTCGCCCGTAACTTCCGTTGAATACAACAATATTTTATACCTCATTGCGGACTTTCTGCCTGAGCAGAAGTGCTGCGTTGGATGGTACTTTTCGTTGAAAGACTATGAACGTTTAATACCATTTTCGAAAGATTCAAAATCTAAGAGTCTACAACAACGAATGGCAACTGACTGTACGCCGTATAAGAAATCGGAAATGACAGAGCTTGCGCATAATGGCTCGATGCGCGCCTCACAAAATTGGAGGAACCACAGAGCGCCCGATACGCAGTGTGCGATTTCGTAGATAAGAAGGAGTTGGTGAGACTCTTTTTTTGTAGCTTATATACACCTAAATTTTCCCTCGCCTTAGCGGTTGCAGCGTATGTAGTCGGTTCGATATGTGTCAATAATTCACACATATCTTGCATGCGCGTGTACATTACAAAACCCTGGGTCTTCCCGAAATCGATGGAGTCGCGGTCACCGCAGTTTTATAGTTTTTCTCCGATATTCATTCATCTCGCGGCAGCGCGTGTACATTTCTTTGTCGTGCGAATTGTATTTACGTAAGAGTTCTAGCAAGCGTTTAATTAACAGAGGCCTAAGAAATAGGTGATGGTTATAGGCCGCCCAATTCAGCATTTTTCACGCTGACTGCGCGTGTCCGAAATGATGTTACTTTTTACCTGTCGTGTGTGTCATCGAAATTATGCATAGAAGATGCGCGAGATACATTTAATTGTAATGCATGTGTAGCTGCTCGCTAGCTGCTTCTCACAGTTTTATTGGTTTCTTTTATAATTATTTTTTATAGTAAAAGGTTGCGTCACAGGCTGTAACATTAGGGCCAACCCTGTGTGCACTTTTGAAATACAATTGTCATAAAAAAAAAAATTATTTACAAATTTTAGCAACAATTTAGATATAAAAATTGGAATGTCGGTGTACAATAATAGAATTAATAATTGAAAAGCATTTGATCGACATAACAAGACTTATATTAAACTTAAGTTTGGCGTTGAAAAAACCGCTGCCAATGTATTGGCAAGTAGCTTCCTCATATTTTTTTTTCAACTTTGAAATATTAGTATTGTCTTTTCACATTCTTTTTATAATTGTAATTTAATTTTTTTCCAATATTATTGAAGTTATATTTTTAACTAATATTATAACCGAAAAGTAAACGCAGGGAAAATTCGAAAGTAACGCATTTATGCAATTTTTCTACGTATAGTTAATTTTGGCCTATTAAGTGTATATGCAGCATTGCGTATAGCAAATTATAGAATTGTTCAGAGACTCGATTTTTCAGCAGTTATCGAATAAACATTTTTTATAGCACTCTAACCCAAAAATCGCAACTTTGCCGCTTCTTTTAGGCTCTTGTGCTATAAAATATTGTCAATTTGTCACTGCGTCTTCACGAAACGAAAGCGTCTCTCAGCTTTATCGGGTTTCTCAAACAAACAATGCAAAAAAAAAAATTTTTTTTCTTAAATAGAAAAAAAAACGTTACGTTTATCGATAAATGAATTTTTCTGGCTTCGTCCTTATGTCATAATGAAAAAAATAAACCCTCCCCCGTCACGATACGAGCTACCGTTATCGAGGAATCACTCTACACAGCCATACAGCCGCATACACCCACATACATGCCATAATGTGTCAGAAATTCGATCTAGTATATAGAAATATCATTAAATATACCCTACGATGATTCTATAAAAAAGCCGAAATGGAGCCCATCACAAAGCTTCCTCTATGAGGAAGCAAAACGGTTGAATGCTGAAGTGATGAAAAGATGTTGACATGAATATATTGCAGTGAAAAGTTTGGTGGTGAGGAGAAAGAGTCGTCGAAATATTATGTATTGCAGTTTAAAGCCTCTTTTCTCTCTTACTATCTTGAAATCATCCCTTTTTAGCTGTCCTCATAAACATCACTATTATGCCAAAAAACATGTTTATCACGCGAAATCAACACTTATAATTCAACTTTCTCGTATAATAACTGTAACCAAATCCTTCTGTCAGCCTAACAAATACTTAATTCTTTCCTTTTTTTACTCATCACCGGTTGCTTCATATGTAAAATCACAACTTTATTTTTCTTGCATTTATTAGCACGATTTTATCTTGGCACGTAGAGATAACAGCACGTTTAACTAATTAACGTTAAATATATTTTAAAACTATTGCTATGAACTTTGTAAATACTTATTCATACTGACCCAGACGTTCTACCTCAAAGTCCATTTTTAAGTAAATTTTCAATTCAATTTTCTCACTACGTTGAAAAAATAAGTTATTGTTATAAATATAATGAAATATTATATTATGAGAGTTTGTTTATGCATGAGTCTTAGACTTGCAATGATCATAATTTTTCGCCAGGCTCATTAAGCCGATATTTGTTCATATGACGCGGGAAAAATAATCGTTTGTCCTCTCGTCATTTACAATGCACAAACACGTGAAATTTTTAAGATTACGCGAGTGGATAAATTTTTATCCATCTTCCACACTTAACGGACATGAACTGGGACACGAGAGAAATTACGATCAGCTCGTAACTATCCACAAATTTACCTCAGCCAGAGCACGCTTAAATCTTATATCATTTGACTCACGGGTGTCAGCCGATGCGGTGCCAAGTTAGATGATTCGTGGTCAAAGTACGTATATATGAGGAATTCTCGTTGTACTGGGAGTGTGTGTTTGTTCGCGAAGTCTCTCCCCCACGCGTTATCACTATAAACCGGCGGATGATTAATCTGACGCGCTATGCGCTTTTTTTTTATTCATGTTGCAGGCACGAACAACTGAACATCAGAGAGATTATTCTTTTAATTCTTATATCCTTATCGAAAAAAAAAAAAAAATAGAATATGCTTTAAAAAATGAAATGGAATTTTTAATTCTCATTTCAGTTCGTCATCGTCAAGCAACTTATTTAAACCTCTTTCCAATTTCACTGTCACGATGAATTCAACACAAAATTTAATCAAATAAAACTAGCGGCGTTCCTCGCTCGCTAACGCTCGCTCGGTCTCAGATTGTTTCAAAGAAATTGTAAGAAATATTGGAGGAGTAAGAATATTATAAGACATATTTATGAAATATTTAAATTTTGAACAAATTTAGATGTTGAAACATAATAGAATATAATAGAATCATGTTTATCGATATATTATGTAATTGGTCATGATTCATTGAATACAAAATAACCCAAGAACTTGATAGATTTAACTTAACGAAACATCATTTCTCCTTCTCGTCTTAAATATAGTACAGTGACTTTCTAAAAGGGCTTTAATTTGTACGTCGAAATAGGTCTATGAAAAATTTGGAGATTAGTAGATTTAAAAAATAACTAAATAAAAAATCTGCTACACTTG